ACCTCCAATCCGACCACGGCATCAGAAAGCTCCACTGGCCCTGCGGTAACAAGCAGTTCCAGTCTGACCACTGCATCAGAAAGCTCCACTGGCTCAGGTGTAACAAGCACCTCCATTATATCAGAAAGCTCCACTGAATCAGGGGTTACAGCAACCTCCAATCCGACCACGGCATCAGAAAGCTCCACTGGCCCTGCGGTAAAGCCCTGCGGTAACAAGCAGTTCCAGTCCGACCACTGCATCAGAAAGCTCCACTGGCTCAGGTGTAACAAGCACCTCCATTATATCAGAAAGCTCCACTGAATCAGTGGTAACAGCAACCTCCAATCCGACCACGGCATCAGAAAGCTCCACTACCCCAGTGGTAACAAGCAGCTCCAATCTGACTACTGCATCAGAAAGCTCCACTAGCCCAGCGGTAACAAGCAGTTCCAGTCCGACCACTGGATCAGAAAGCTCCACTGGCTCAGGTGTAACAAGCACCTCCATTATATCAGAAAGCTCCACTGAATCAGTGGTAACAGCAACCTCCAATCCGACTACTGCATCAGAAAGCTCCACTACCCCAGCGGTAACAAGCAGCTCCAATCCGACCACTGATTCAGAAAGCTCCACTAGCCCAGCATTAACAAGCAGCTCCAGTCTGACCACTTCATCAGAAAGGTCCACTACCCCAGCGGTAAGAAGCACCTCCAATACGACCACTGCATCAGAAAGCTCCACTGGCCCTGCGGTAACAAGCACCTCCAATCCGACCACTGCATCAGAAAGCTCCACTGGCTCAGGTGTAACAAGCACCTCCTCTATATCAGAAAGGTCCACCGACTCAGTGGTAGCAGCCACCTCTAATCCAACCACTACATCAGAAAGCTCCACTGGCTCAGGTGTAACAAGCACCTCCATTATATCAGAAAGCTCCAATGAATCAGTGGTAACAGCAACCTCCAATCCGACTACTGCATCAGAAAGCTCCACTACCCCAGCGGTAACAAGCAGCTCCAATCCGACCACTGATTCAGAAAGCTCCACTAGCCCAGCATTAACAAGCAGCTCCAGTCTGACCACTTCATCAGAAAGGTCCACTACCCCAGCGGTAAGAAGCACCTCCAATACGACCACTGCATCAGAAAGCTCCACTGGCCCTGCGGTAACAAGCACCTCCAATACGACCACTGCATCAGAAAGCTCCACTAGTCTAGCGGTAACAAGCACCTCCAATCCGACCACTACACCAGAAAGCTCCACTGGCTCAGGTGTAACAAGCACCTCCTCTACATCAGAAAGCTCCACTGACTCAGTGGTAACAGCCACCTCCAATCCGACCACTGCATCAGAAAGCTCCACTGGCCCAGCGGTAACAGGCACCTCCAATCCGACCACTGCATCAGAAAGCTCCACTGGACCAGTGGTAACAAGCACGTCGAATCCGACCATCACCTCAGAAAGCACCACTGGCCCAGTGGTAACAAGCACCTCCTATCCGACCACTACATCAGAAATTTCCATGGGCCCAGTGGTAACAAGCACTTTGAATCCGACCACTGAATCAGAAAGCTCCTCTGGCTCAGCAGTAACAAGAACCTCTAATCTGAACACTACTTCTACTCCTTTGACAACCACTACAAGTAAGATTAATTTCTTTTTCTTTTAAATCAATTGGTATTGTTTCCCCTAACTATCCAAAAAAAATGCTTGATGAGGTAGACCTGTCAGTATTATCATTCATCTTGTATTTATCCCACCCCTCATGGCTCAATGTATCCTGTGGGAAGCAATCCATGATCCTAAAGAATAGGATCACCTCTTTTAATTTGGCGCCATTACTAAATCACATAGCTGCCCTTTTGACTACCACTGAAAAATAGGATTCTCTGTCTAAAAAACTTCAGGAAATGATGTCCCCCATCCTGGTCTTGAACAGGGGGTGTATAATTGAATTAAGAACTAGGTTTACAGTCATCAAATAGCCCTGACACAGGGAATATCTTATTAGCTACTTCAAATAATAATTTATTCTCTTTTTATTCTTCCTCCCTGCAGAAACTGAACTTGAATACCCAACCATTATGCTCCTCAGCCTCTCCTCTGTGTTGGGTTTTCTTGTCCTGAGTTTCCTCGGCAGTTTGGTAAGAATTAACGGCTACCATCAGCAGATAGTGGAGGGTGGGGATGACATGGAAACGAATGATGGACATATGTGTGTAGTAAAGTTTTGGAATCTCTACCGACATGGAGATAGAGGAGCATGTTTCCCCATCATGTGTGCTTTGGTTATGTCATTGACTCCTAGAACTGTTTGCTCCTTGACCGGGGACAGAATTTCCCCTCTCCAGCCATCAGGGGCCAGTCTGTTCAAACAACAGGACTTGCAGTGAATCACACATGAGGAATGAAGAGGTGGGTGGGTTAAATGTCAGTTGCCTTGGGGCCAGTGATGGTATCCATTTGTCTACTGGTCAGAGCAGAGGAGCTGGTAGCGCCCTGAGCAGGGGAGCCAGTCACCTCAGGGCCAGTGGTGGTGCCTGCGGGTTCTCTGGTTGGACCACAGGAAATGCCCCCCCCCCCAAAAAAAGATCCCTATATATAGAAGATGAGTTTAGCAGGGACTAGGCTCAAATTTCTTCCTGACTGTAATTTTCATTATTTTATTCATTTAGAATATTTCTATGCTGCCTCTTCAGAGATCTGCTCAAGGCGGCTTACACTGAAAAACCACAGGATTTAAACACTAGCCACTATATATAAGCAGTATTTTTAAATGTCCATAAAATAGAAGCAGACCATTAAAAAGCCTATATGACAAAAAAAAACAACCCCAACCCCTAAATAAAAGCCTGAGTAAAAAAAGACGTTTTTTGGCCTGGAGTCTAAAAGAAAGTAGAGTTGGCACCAGATAAGCCCCCCAGGGGAGATAGCATTCCCAAAGGTAAGGAACCACCACAGAAAATGCCCTGTCTCTAGTCACCATCTGCATCTCCTCTGAAGGCAGGGGCACAGAGGGCAGAGCTTGAGAGGTAGATCTTTACTGGTGGGCTGAATAGTATGGGAATAGTATGGGAGCCGTCCGTCCTTCAGACACATTTATATTTTCAGGAATCTTTTTTTATGTAGAGAAGCATTGTCTCATGTGGCATCCCACATATAGTCTAAAGAGGCAGGGCCAACAAACAGTTTTGATCACACCCCTTACCTTACTCTGTAGTGTTGCCCCATGAGAAACACCTAATTCCCAGTTGGGGGGGGGATTTAGTGTTTACAATTCAACTGAGAGGGGGAAAGCAACGGGATTTGGGGTTCTCTGGTATACCTCAGTTGTTAAGCTTGAGAAGCCACAGTGTCAGGAAGTGTATGTCTGATTCCTGGATGCTAGGAGGAAACACCAGTTTGTATCTGGTGGGCCATGGTTAGAAGCAGAATCCTGGACAAGATGGAGCCTTGACTTGATATAGCAGGACAAGTCCTATGTTGTTATGATGTGGTTACGACTATAGCTGGTTACAACACTCCCCTAGCAACCCTTCTCAGCTCTTCTGTGGCTGTTCATAGGCATGATAGTCTTCTCTGCTCCTGTGTACTTAGCATCTTAACATGGTTTTACCGTAGAGTTTCCGCTGAATCCTAGACTGGTATGACATCACTTCCTGATTCAGCCTAGAAATGACATAATGCTGTTGCCATGATGGCATTTCTCTTCATCCCCTTCCCCCCAGCCTACCAAGTGGCAACAGAGGTGGTGGTGGGGGTTGCTGGCAGGAAGTCTCCTACTAGGCAACTTGACTAGGCAACAGGAGGACATTACCTCATGCAGTGTTGCTGAGATACACAAAATGTGGAAAGAAAAGAAAGTACTCCTGGGTGGGCTAGGCAATAGGGAGATGTAATCCCTTTCTCTTGTCCCTGAGCAAACTTCATCCAGATTTACCCCCCTTTCTCAAAGCATCAATAAAAGGACACTATCAGCCTGCACATGAGACTGCAAAATAAGGGGATGTTCTGGCTTAGTTACAAGGTTTTCCTGTCCCACCTTCTCTGCCTCACTTTCCTTTCCTTGCATTGCCGTTTCTTGCAGTTTGTCTACTTCCTGAAGTCTTCATTTTTTGGCCCTACATCTTACAACATTTACAACAGTCACTTTATGCTCAGAAATTACAACTTGGAAGGAAACGGTGGCACATGGATGCCCCATAACTTTCCGGATTCCAGCCACACAGGCACCAGTGGCAACTATATGTCCCATAACTTCGCAGATTCCAGCCACCTAGGGAACAACAGTGACCAGATGTCCAGGTCCTTTCCGGATTCCAGCCACGCACAGAAAAATGGTGACCGTCTCTCCCAGAACTTCCAGGAACGAACCCAGGAAAGGAGCAAGATTAATGACAACAAAAGCAATTATGCCTTCTTATAACAGCAGCCTCTCATTTCCTCTCAGGATATGTCCTTTGTTGGTTTTCTTTCTGCTTTATTTATTTATTTATTTAAAGTTAAAGACTTTGCCTTCAGTATCAAATTGCCACATGCTGAGCTCCTTCTACGGGTGCCAATGTTTCTCCCCTCTGGGTGGGCTCTTGTGTATTGAACACCGGCCCAACAAGCTGAAATTGAATAGGTTTTCCTACCCAGAAGATCAGCAATGAGGAGAGCTCTGTCTTCTGAATTTCCCGCAGTACCTGTTAAAGGCACAGGCCAAAGTTGTTTGGTCTAACTACTATTTAGTTTTTAAAACAGGTGGCAGCACTGAGACACACGTAAGACTATCTCGTGGTAGTGGAAAGTGCCGTTAAGTCACACCTGACATGGTGACGCCATGGAGTTTTCAAGGCAAGAGATGTTCAGAGGTGGCTTGCCATTGTTTGCCTCTGTCTCTCAGTCACAACCCCGGTATTCCTTGGAGGTCTCCCATCCAAATACTAGTCCGGGCCGACTCTGCTTAGCTTTGATGATCTGATGAGATTTTTAAAAGGACTACAGTTTTAAACCCAATAGACCAGCCACTACTGATCGTTATGCCTCAGGAACGCCTGGTTCGGTCGGTCCGTGACTAACTCTGCAATTCTAAGCAGAGTTACACCCTTCTAAGTCTGCTGAAGTCAATCAGCTTAGAAGGGTGTAACTCTGTTTAGGAGACATTCTACCTCTGAATATTTCTGGCTTTCATGGCAAGACTTACCTCTTAAAATGCTTTTGAAAAACAGCATATACTATTGGTGCTAAAATGTTCAAGAAACGATGAGTTTGTCAGGAAACATTTGTCAAGAGCGACTTCCCGCTGGCGTCATTGAACAGAGTTCAAGTATTTTGAGATGGAGTGGGTGACTTTTCTTTTTGCTAATGGCACCATGGGCAAATCTACCAGGACAAAATAAAAAAGCATAAATGCAAAGCAGGAACAATGCAAAGCAGGTCTACTCAGAAGAAATGCCCGTGTTGTTAAATGGAGCTTACTCCCAGGAAAGTGTCTTTAGGATTGCTCCATAGAGCTCCTAGCCAACTCAGGACTAACCCATGGGAACCAAGACCTCTAATTCTCTTGGCTAATGGGATAAAGAGGGCTAAAGGATCAGAAACTTCTTTTTATGGTTGTGAATTCAATGTTCCCTCTAAGCTGTGGAGTCTTGTGAGCGGAAATCCTACTTTGTGAGCTACGGGCATTAAAGTTGTGAGCGAGCCATTTGGTTGCTGAATAAATTAGTTTGCTTTGAGGCCACCCTTCCAGAGCTAGAGCAAAAATCTGTGAGCTGGAGGCTAAAAAACTGTGAGCTAGCTCACACCAACTCAGCTTAGAGGGAACACTGGTTGAGATCATTCTACCAAACTCCCCACCCAAAGGGGAAAAAATTGAAAATGCTCAAATATTTCCATTTGGAATGAAATGTTCTCTTCTCCCAGAGCCAGGAGTTTCATACCAAGGATTCAGATGTTGCACTGAGTAAATTGGGTCTGCCCTTTGTTCTGATAATGGTAGCTTGAAATTTGTTCTGTTTTCTATATGTTTTATTCCTGTAATATTTAGTGATCTGTATGTTTGCATCAAGGGAGTTTAGCTAGTGTTGCCAGCCTCCAGGTGGGGCTTGGGGATCTCCCGCTTTTACC